AACATGTGAAGGCTTGTAAGTTCTTTACCCTGATTTATCCCATTAACTTACTGAAATTTACGGGTATACAAAACAGTTCTCAACTTCAGGGTGTTTTATACTGGAACCATCTCCCAGTTCTAATTTGAAGTGGGTTCCAGAAGTGTTCTAAATGTGAAAAGAGCCTTTGCATCAAAATGAAAACATCTTGCAAAAACCATTTGTAGAATGATTGAAATAACCCATTCTGAGCTTAAACATTATGAATTCGAAATATTTTGCACACATCTACTAGAATTGTAGATGCCTTTGTACATATAACACTTGTCTTAGGGTTGTCAGCAAGAGTAGAATTAAGTTGAAGACTGCATAAATCAGTTTGTGTGATTTAAGGATAGTAGGTAAAATAGGAAGGTATCCCAAGATAACAAGAAAATTACTTTTCTTGTATAAATTAAAAGACAAGCATAGAAGCTTACTCCTCTGGGATAATTCCCTTGAACATATTTTATTTTGGAATCAGTGCAAATAATACTGAAACATGGCAGTTTTAAAATATGTTTGTTTTTGGTTTGTTTCAAACATTCTTTTACTTCCTAAATGATATACATATTCACCAATCTTAATCATATTCATTTATTCATTCATAGGGGGCGTGGTAGCCTAGCGCTGGGCTTGTTGACTGAAAGACTATGAGTTCAAGACTCAAGTACTCCGTGATGGGATTAGTTCCCGTCCTTACCCTGGCTCCTGCCAATCCAGCAGTTTGAAAGCATGCAAACGCAAGTAGATAAATAGATACCACTTCAGTGAGAAAATAAAAATGTGCCAGGGAATAGTCATGCCAGACACATGACCATGGAACCATCTTTGGACAACGCTGGCTCCCTTGGTTAGGAAACAGAGATTAGCTCCGCCCCCTAGAGTCAGATATGACTGGACAGGAGGGAAACATTATCTTTTTACTTTTCATTCATTTATATCATGCCTTTATTATTTTCACAAGTAATTCCAGGCAGCAAACATATCAATATACCTTTTTCATCCTCTTTTCTCCACAACAACTCTGTGAGGTGAGTTGGGCTGAGAGAGTAACAAGGTCACCCAGCTCTTGTTAATCCTTCTAAATCAGGAGTGTCAAACTCACGGCATCATATTGTATCACAACTTTTGTCAAACTCACGGCATCATATTGTATCACAACTTTTTTCCCCTTGGCTAAACCAAGTGAGGGTGTGATGCATCCAGCCTGCAGGCCGTGAGTTTGACACCCCTGCTCTAAGTATTTATGTGCAAATATACCAAGGTTTTGCCCCCTTGCTTTATGCTACTGTAACGATAATGTTCTTTTTGATATGGTTCTATTTAAAATCACATTCTCTATATTAAACAGTGCATCATGTTTACCAGTTTCATTTTAGGTAATTTAATTTGTAAAAACAAGTTTGCCGATCCTACTTTAAAAGTAATATTTCCTCTCCATTCCGTTCCCCGTAAATGCCCCATCCAAGAATATGGCTTGGAACACTTTTCTTTCTTTGTTCAAATCTTGTATTTGAAAGGCCTTTTATTGTCCACATTCCTCTTAGTTTGAGTCTAGGTGTGTGCGTGCGTGTGTGTGCATATTGTTTATGGATATTTTCAGCCTTTCACTCCATGACATAAGTTGCTGTGTAGCTGATACCATCACCCATACTGTAATTGGATGCAGATGATATCCTAAGTAGGGAGGGCTGAAAGATATTCCTTTATGAATTTGAAGCTTGTGGAAAAGAAACATTTATATCTCCTGGTGTCCCAGTTTTAGAGGGTTATGTCACAGTTCACTGAGATGAGCAATACTGTGGTTTTCAATTTATATTCTTAACTCCCTCCTTGAGAAATAACAACATGCATTACCTCGAAGACAGCAAGCTAGAGATTTGAAATGGCATTTTGTTTGGAGAGAAAATCCCTAGAAGATCAATTCATACGTCCCAATTCATAGTCCAGTGGTAGGACTTGAAGGGTATGTAAGATGTCAGAAAGATGCTTGGTGACCTCTGGGGCTAAATGAGTAAGAGAAGGGGGCCTCAACTAATTTGATATTCTGAACATTAGTGGCTGCCACACATGTGCTGAAGAATACAAAACAAACTTTTTCGTATGCATTTGCACTAATCTTTACAGAAAATTAAAACTGTGGATAGTATCCAAACTGCAATGCCTCGTGTGATCTCTTTTCTTGCTCTAGGTGTAGAAACACATCGATATCTTTGCACTTGTGATTTAAAAGTATTAGTTCAGTTTCACCGTGATACTTTTAGCCTTTTCCTTCCCCCCACCCCTTTTCTTTAGGATGCAGCCTTGTGACTTTTTTTCCTCTCATTACAACATTTCCTCTATTTTAGGAGTTCTCCAACATAACAAATATTTTATGAGTTCCATTTTATTCTGCACATACTAAATAAGTAGGACGACAGTATACAACCATGACATAACCTTTGTTTTTAAATTTTGAACACATCAATTGAAGATGGGGTAGTCCACTATGTCCATATTTTTAAAGACTGTCTACAATTTGTTGTAGTCAATCAAAGGCCTTCTTATGCACAGCAAAACAAAACAAAAAATCAATTCTTTTTCTTCTTCTGTTGCCATTTGAAATGTGACCGTAGGTGCCTGTTCCCTTTCTGAGACTAGTTTCTGCTTCTTTAAAAAGTTGAGAAACATTTACTTTATTTTAACCAGATTACTTTTTAGGATCAGGGCAGAAAAACCAATATACATACTCTGGGTACGTGAAGATACTACTTTCTATACCTTTATTTTGATCATTTCATGTGATTGTTGAATGAATAAGATGAAAGAAAGTATGAGAAATGATCATACCCCAAAATATCTTAAGTTTGTGTTACTTGAGCGTTTCATATAATTCAGGACAATACTTTTTATAGGATGAATTAGCTGTTCAGCTTACAACACAATACTTGGCTGTGGACTGGATGAAAAAAATAACTGGAGCAACTTGGTCTAAAAATAGGCCTTCATCTGAAAACAGTGCTTTGGCCTAAGGCCTTTGCTACAAAACTTTTTATTTTCCATTACCTGTATAATAAGTGAAAAAAAAAACCTGTTATTGGCAAAAGATTGCTTTCATCTTTTTTTTATTTTGAGGAGGTAAAGAAGAGGGGGCATACCATTTATTTCTGTCTTTCTCGTTCTCCTTTCCGCCTCTTCCATTTTTAATTTAATAGCATAAATCATGGCAGGATGTTTTTAAGGTCAGTTTACCAACAGTATTAATTGGCTTTCTCAAAGCTTTTTCTGTGGCCATCCCTGGTTTAATTTGTTTAAGATTTGAACAAAAGGCTAAACATTGAACATTAAACAATAAACAGTAGAAGATCCTGTTTTCTTGAAGCAATTATCATTTTATACCCAACAATTACTTTTTGTGGCATTTTTTTAAAAACAACTAATTATGCAGGGACCGTATGAGAGCACACTCAATAAGTGGTTCTTCATGTTCTCAGTATGATGCCAAGCACGTTACCATAGACAACCCTGTGCAACATAGCCTCTGAGAAACTCTTAAATAGTGAATGTCATCTCGCCTTGACTGTCTCATCTGAGCAACCTAGGAAGAGGAATACTAAACAGAAACAGGTTCTTTTCTATGTTTTTTTTCTCTTTCTCCCTTTCATTGTTGACTGGATTTGAACCCGGATCTTAGTTTGACTTTCTGCTCTTTATACCACAGCAGATGTAGTCTGTTAAAGTGAAATGAAGGTTTGCCATAGAAGAGAATATTTGAATGAGATTTGCACAAGCATTTTTTTTCCTTCCATTAAACTTTTATTTCATGGAGGAAATGATACGGAGTAGAAGAATGCATTTGAAATTATATTATACTCATGGTTTTGGAGTAAATGTCTCAAAAACCATGAATATTTTATGTTATTTATTAGATTTATATAGCTGCCCGTTTCACATTTTTGGTTTGTCCATGATGGTGACACATTGCAACATTGGGCGTGCATCCCTTGGAGGTTGAACATTTTTTCAAAAAACAAGAAATGTAGATTCTGAGCATGAGAAAATTGGCCACCCTTTCTTTAAAAACGGATGATTCTCAGCTAGGTGGATATCATAGGTGGCATTCAAAAGTAGACTAAGTCAGCTTTTCAGGTGTTTAAGATTCACCGTAAATAATAAACATAATATTGGAATGCTTATAAATATGTTTATGACTTTCCTAGAAAAAATTCCTTATCTTGTTTAATATAAAAGAAAGTTCTTTAGTGAAGTGTTGGAACAGGACATAAAAGGCAAAAGGTTGAGAACCATTTAAGCTGCTAAATAATAGCAACATTTTCCAAACTTTGAAGGGCTGAAACATACTAATTCTCTTAATAAAATAAAATTCTAAAATAGTGGGATTCCATTTCCTTAATAGAATGTGACTTAAGAAGCAAATGGTTAAGAGTCGTTATTGTGAAGGTAGTCCAGCAACATAATTCTTGCTCACTGTTACCTGAAAAAAAATAATTCAGCTGCCTTTTGGTTTCAGGATTCAGTTTAAGATGCTGCCATTTTGTGAGTTTTTCTAGTCTTTAAGATCAGCATCCATGGCTTGTTTTCTGTTCCTACAGGAAAAATAGAGATTGGGGATATCACAACAGGGTGGTTTTTATGGTAATTCTACATCTTTCTTTTGTCCTCCTCCAAGAATTCAGAATGTTCCCTTCTTCTAACCTTATGGAAAATGTTAAAAGCTTTTATATTATTTTTGGTTAAGTTTACTGTATTGTGCATTTAAATAAGTTTTAATTAGTGTTACTATTTTATTGGTAATGTTCTATTTATTACAAGTAATTGAACAACATAAAATAATTATCACTAAAAGAAGGTCTATGAGTATTCTTGGTAATTTCTGGATTGTTTTTGAAAGCAGTTATAAAGAGCTACAGTGAATGCAATGAATCATCTTCAAAGCAAAGGATATAATTTTATTATTATTATTTTTTGGTTGTTTATAGAGATGCTTTTGAATGACACCGATGATGTTTTTGGGCTTCAAGGACAAGCTGAACACAAGTTGAAATTCCTCCGAAAGTATGTGCCAAAAGATGTCAAGCTCGTACTTATTGGACACTCAATTGGCTCTTATTTTGTTCTTGAAATTATGAAGCATTCACCAGAACTGGAGGTATGTCAGAGATATAAACTTATTCAACTTTTTCTTTCTCCAATTCTCCCCTTCCTAAGCTGATCATGTTTGTATAACAATCTTAATTCTCAGTCACAGAAGATGACCCTATAGGAATTGTAATAGTAGTTGTTGTTTCTGTCTGGGAGATTCCAATCATTTTTTTTTTCTAAACTTTCTTTGTATCTGTGCTGTGGAGGATATAATCATCTGAAGTCCTGGAGACCATGATTCCTTCACCAAAATTGGTTCAAAACTTTTGAATATGCATTGCTTTTTAACTAAGACTTCTGGTAGGACTGGAACTTGGCAAGTTGATGATGAAGAATAGGGAAACTAGAATATTCCAACTTCGTCCATCTGAAGGAAGACTCACAGATTGTAGAGAAGGGATTTCAATAAGCATCACTGTAATAGGAAAGTCATACCATCTTAGAGGCAAGGAATCTAGTGGCTTCCCCAAAGAGTAAGAGATGTGTGGTGGTGATGGGTGACTCCCTATTGAGAAGAAGAATTAGCAGCCTGCAGATCAGACATCCTATCAAAACAGTATGCTGTCCCCTAGGTATGAAGATACAAGATGTGATCCAGATAATCAATTATATTAACCATTATTTCATGCTGAAATAAGTGACGCTGCCAGAGACAGCTTTGGAAGAATACTGAAAGATTATGTGTCTTTCAAGTCTGTGAGCAAAATAAATTGGGGCACAGGTGGTGTTTTCATACAAATTTGCAATCTGGAAGATACCTTGCTAAGGTTATCTGGAGAGCTTTAAACTAAATTTGAATGGGGACAATGTCATCCTTTCAGTATAGACCAGACTAGGAAACCAAAGTCAGGCAGGTTAACACTACTTTTTATTATAAAGATATAGAAATAGAATCATGAAAACCTGAATGCATATCTATCTATCTATCTATCTATCTATCTATCTATCTATCTATCTATCTATCTATCTATCTATCTATCTATCTATCTATCCATCCATCCATCTATCCATCCCTCCCTCCCTCCCTCCCTCCCTCCCTTTCTCTCTCTCTCTCTCTTTCTCTCTTTCTCTCTCTCTCTCTCATACACACACACTCACACTCACTCTGTCAGACCTAGGGAAGATCATATCTAAGACATTTTTTCAGATTACAGTTCTACTCCCAGATTCCGATTTCTTTTATCTGACCATTGTCTTGGTAGCAGCTTTTCCTCCTGTCCTCTTGAGCCAGTGCTTCTTAAAGTATTGTCCTAAGACCTGCCCCAGTACCTGGGGATCCACAAAATCAAATTATTTGCCAGTCTCTGTTGAAAAATAATGCACTATTAAAATCCAATCAAACAATTGTGAGAAGCAGCAGCGAATGCATCCATTTTTAATTTTTAACATGGAAAATATGAGTAAATAAAATCCATACAAACAAAGCACTTCTGGGATTGTCAGCGATTTTTAAAAGCAGGAAGGGGTCCTGAGAGCAAATGTTTAAGTTATGTTTAAGTTAAGTTTAGGCCAGGGGTGTCCAACCTTGGCAACTTTAAGACTTGTGGACTTCAACTCCCAGAATTCCTCAGCCAGCTTTCTGGGAGTTGAAGTCCACAAGTCTTAAAGTTGCCAAGGTTGGACACCCCTGGTTTAGGCCATTCCCTCTGCCTATTACAGAAGAGGACTACAACCTGGAATGGAGATAGACTTTCAAGATCATGGGAAGGGATAGTCCCAGTCTATTTTGTACTGGTCAGACCACTCTTAAAAATCTGTGTCCTGTTCTGGAGGCCACAATAAGAAAGGACACTGAGAAACAGAAAAGAGAGCAGAGAACAGCAAAAAAGATGATGGGAGGCTTGGAAACCAAATCTTACAAAGAGTGGGTAAAGGAACTGGGTGTAGTTAGCCTAAAGAAGAGAAGGCTAAAGGGTGGTATGATAGCAATCTTCCAATACATGAAGGGATACCACAGGGAAGAGGGTGTTAATTTATTTTCCAGACTACTAAAAGCTAATACAGAACTCAAAGATAGAAGGTTTACAGTGAGTAATCCACGCTTGAATTAAGGAGGAATTTCCTAACTGTGAGATCAGTTAAGCCAGGGGTCTCCAACCGTGGCAACTTTAAGACTTGTGGACTTCAATTCCCAGAGTTCCTCAGCCAGCTGAGGAACTCTGGGAGTTGAAGTCCACAAGTCTTAAAGTTGCCAAGGTTGGAGACCCCTGAGTTAAGCAATGTAACAGCATGCCTCTTCCAGCTGTAGGTGCTCCCTTACTGGAATTTCCAAGGGGAAAAAAATGGACAGCTATTTGTCAGAGATTCCAGTTCTAGGCAGGGGATTGGGCTTGAAGACTTCCATACTTTTTTTTCCAATTTGATTCTAATTTGTTTTAGGATATTGTACAACACATGTCTCCCAGGAAGATATTTTACAAATTCTTTTGCAAAACAGATGGAACTAGAGTAGAGGCAAGGTGGAATAGAAATAATTTGAGAAGAAAGGATATAGTGTAGGTATTAGAGTGTAGGTATTAGTCACACATTCCTGTCGATGGCTCACGATTATTCATTAAAATAGTGCCATCTTATTTTTTTCTGTTGGCTTTAGAAAATACTTTACTAATTGTATAACATTATAAAATTAAATATTTAAGTGTAAAAGCATGTATGAATTTATTCCTGTAAATTGTTCTACTTTGACTGAAAGCTTCCTTTTCTTTAGCTGAAACTACAGATCTATTTACACATTACAAATCTAAACTACACATTAACCTATACTTCACACCCAGGAATTAACATGGCTAACATCAAGTTCAGATACAAACTTCTCCCTTTTTATTTCTTTATTTTCCAAGAGGAAAATGTTGTATTTCTTATTGTATTGTATTTGTAATTTATGTAATTCTAATACTAAGGTAATATAATTCTAATACTAAGGGATCTAGGGAAAATGGCTTATTTTACTCTAATAGTTACCTGGTTTCAATTATATTTGATTGGTTGAATTGCCTTCCCCCTACACATGGCCCCAAAGATGTTGCTGGTACAGTAATGATTTATCAGTGAGTTGAAACTATAGATATCCTTAGGATGATTTGAGAGCACAATGTGCTTGAAGTTAAATTATGACAAGCTGCATTTAAGATAGTTCAACAATAGAATATATTTGTATAAGCCAGTTTGTTGCACAACCTCTGCCCAAAGTAAGTAAACCTCTATATTTTATGATATGAAGTGTGATAATAAGAAACTTGTGTTTCCATCTCTTCTCCTGTTTTTATTGGAATATTTAATTTTCAGGGAAATTCAACTCCACAAGTGTAGTTTAGTAGCTGGCTGTGCATCTGTGTATCTTTATGGCTACTTTCTGTACTTGCTATGGGATTCTGTTTTTTTATTTAAAATGTACAGTGGTCTAGATGGTTTTTCAATGCAATGCTTTGAACTACTTGGTTTTATTTTTGTAGTTCCCTATTATTTGTTTTCATTCTAAGTGTGTCTGTTAAAAATTTATTTAAAGTTATTTTTAAAAACTCTGGAAAACCAGGATGCATCTTTGGCTTGGGTGGAAGGAATTTGGACCAGGATTCAAAATGAATGCCCTGGAAGTTGTGATCACACAGTTGACCCTGTCTGTCTCTATCTCCCTCTCTCTCCCTCCCTCCTTCCCCCCCCTCTCTCTCACATACACACACACACACACACACACATACACACACACAGTGTGTGTGTGTGATGACCCAGAGTGTAACACAAACGTAATAAAATCCAAAACGTAAATAAATGTCATTTAATGCCTCCAACCTGGCCCCTCTGTTCAGTAATTCTCAGTTGGAGATAAAACGTACTCAAAAATAGTCTTCAAAAGAAAACAATACAGTCTGAATTTAATGAGCAGATAGAGGTGAAAATAAAAACCAAACAAACTACAATGATGAAATTTCCACAACGGGACAGGAGAAGTATTTACCAAATTCAAGGAGATAACAATGCACGGTCTGTTGGAAGGACGCCATCCAAGACAACCTCAAACCAAAATAAAACATACTTTGTCTCCAGCATTTGCCAGAATGCAGGTCCAAACTCTTATGCAGTTCTCACACCTGCAGCCCATGAAGAGGATCAAGGCCCTCTCCTCCCGAGTAGACCATGTCTCTCTCTTATCCTCTCCTCCTTGCGTGCCCTAGGATGGATAGGGAATGGGCCTGGGTCCTCCTCTGCCTGCTCAGCCGGCCTCTGCCCTTCCCCAGCCTCCTCCACAACCTCCGGAGCCACATTTCCACTCCCTTTTGGCTGTTCCTCCTCTCCCTCAGAGTCAGTTTCCACCAGGGGCATGACACACTGACCTGATGTTTACATTGTTCTGAACTAAGCAGGCACACCAAGTAAACAGCATGCCTAGCTTCAGTTATATGAACATTTTCCTTCAGGTTTGCAGCTTGGAGATGCACAACTGGAGTCAAAGTATGTGGTACGTAGAAGCTCTCCTGAGTTCAAGAAAAACTCGTATTTGCTTGAACATTTAACATATTTTTTATGTACAGAAGGCATATTTTATTTTATTGCTTTAGCCTGAGGGGAGGCAAAAGAAGAGGGAGAGAGAAGAGAAATAATACCATTTAACTGGGGTGATATATAAGACATCTGGCTTCAGCTGGGAGTTGGATTTAGATGGCATCCAAAGTCTTTTCCAGCTTTGTGATTCTATGTTCTGTCTTCCATTATACTGATAGAGAACCAACTTATAAGCAGAAAGCGAACACAAAATCAATCACACTGCACTGTAAATCTGTGTTTGCCTTGCTTTCCAGCAGTGAAGGGTTTTTTTTTTAACTGTTCTCCATGTTTGATAAATCCCTAATTCTTCATATAGCAATGAACTTCCAAACTTCTGATAATTCAAAAATACCCTCAGGTATTTAAATTGAATTGATTTTTGTAACACTAGAATAGCAGATTTTATAATAGTGGGTCATACAGTAACAATTAATAAATAGTTTAGCCTAGAGCAGAGGTCTTCAA